AATCCAATGGCAGTGAGGTCCTGCCTTGTGCACCTTATACAAATGCTCAGAGGCACATACACAAAAGGAGCACAGATCCACCCGACTAGTAGGGTTGCACAGGTCAAGTGGGGGTGGGGGTGGCTGCTCGCTCTCAGGTGGGATCCTCTGCCAGCTGCTTCGACACAGGTTGGATCCCTCCCCCATTGGCTCCTCCAAGCCCCTGCACATGTGGGATGCCACCCAGGGCACATGCGGGCGCTCCCACAGGCCAGCCTCCTGGTGCCCTCTTCTCCCACTCACAGGGCACAGCTCACTCCGCAAAGCCCAGCCAAATGCCGCCGGAGATATTTGTGAGGAAAGATGGCAAGGCATCGTCCCCAGCTGGCTGGAGGCTCACCCAGTGGGGACAAAAAAGGGATGTGTGTGCTTTGGCAAGCTGAAGGCTTCCTCTGGTTTTGGGGTGCACAAGGGATGTCAAAACGAAAAGGACAGAACCGCCAAGGCAAAGACGGACGGGAAGAGTGTGGGGCTGGCTGCTGAAGAGGCCCCCCCACCTGGAAAGGGGGCAAAGGGGTGGGCACCCAAGGAAGGATGAAGGTCTCTCAGATGGGGAGCACTCCCTGCCCCAACGCCTGCACCTATGGAGATGGAGGGGGGGAACAGAGACAGGAAAATAATGCTCAATGGTTAGTGTTCATTACAGGGAAAGGCAGTGAAAAGGGCTCTCCTTTCTTGCACCCAGCAGCCTTTTCCCTTCTCTGTCATGACCGTGACCGACGTCCGTGGAATTCCCCCATCGCTTCCTTGGGACACTCGCGACAAAGAACTGGGTGCAAAAGGAGCAGAGTGATTCCATCAAGGTGGGGAAGGATTTAGGAAGAGGGAGTCAGGATGGAGAGGAGAAGGCTGGTCAGGGAGTACTTCAAGGTTCGCCACCTTTTAAAGTCCAGAAATACTTCCAACCCCCTCACCCCGTTTTCACAGCGATTCGGGCTTCCAGTGTTTGACCACCAGTCTTGTCCGGTCAGCGCCGAGTGTGAGGTCGGCATGCAAGTTTCCGACATCCGGAACAAGCAAAGGCAAGCACTCCCTCTTCCAGACCTGCTCATTTTGGGGCCATAGCTGCCGACCACCAAGGCTAGCCCGCCAAGCCTGGCGCAGAGGGAGGAGGGCTGAGCCGGCTGGGTGGCTCTTTTGGGATGGAGAAGCCCGCACTGGTGAAGGGGGTCCAGCGTGGGCGCTGTGAAAGGGTTGGTGGCCTCCGGAGGCAGCGGCTTGGAATGCGCCCTCCTAGGCGAGGAGACTGGACAGGTGAGGCACCAGGTCCGGATGAGACAAAACTCCTGGGGTCGATCTGGCTGTGGACAGGGGAGGGCCAGGGCCGGGAGATGAGGCTGGCGTGAAGGGAATGACGGCAGGGGGAATGGGGGCTACGTGGCAAGGAAGGCAAGGGGAAAGCACAATCTAGAAGAAAAGGAAAGGTGGTTTTGAACAGGCAGAATGACGTATTTGGGGTCCAAACACTGTCTTCTTGGCATAGAATCAAAATAATCATGGAGGTGGAAGGGGTCTGTAAGGCCATCCAGTCTGACCCCCTGCTCAAGGCAGGAATCCAAGTCCAAGCAGACCTGACAGAGCCCCCCCCCCCCGTTTTCTCTTAAATGCCTCCAGCGTTGGAGTGCTCATTACCTCCCCAATTATTGGCTCCATTATTGTACTGCTCTAACAGTTAAGAAGTTTTCCCTGACATTTCAGCCTAATTCTGGCTCTCTGTAGCTTGAGCCCATCATGACATGTCCTGCACTCTGGGATGACTGACTACAGATCCTGGCCCTCCTCTGTATGACAGCCTTTCAAGTATTTGAAAAGTGCTATCCTATCACCCCTCAGCCTTCTTTTCACAAGGCTAAACCTGCCCAGTTCTTTCAGCCTTTATTCCTAGGGCTTGGATGCCAGTCCCCTTATCCTCCTTGTAGCTCTCCTCTGAACTTGCTCCAATTTGTTGGCATCCTTCTTAAAGTGGGATGTCCAGAACTGGACATAAGAGTCAATAGGCCTAACCAGTGCCGAATAAAGGGGAATCAGTACCTCATAGGATTTGGAGACTATATTTCTGTTAATGCAGCCTCAAAGAGCATTGACCTTTTTTGCCGCTGCATCACACGGTTGGCTCATGTTCAGCTTGTGATCTACGACGATTCCAAGATCCTTCTCGCTTGTCGTATTGCTGGGCCAAGCATCCACCACCTCATAACTGTTGGGTTTGCTTTTTCTGAGGCGCAGTGCTTTGCACATGTGTTTTGCACCAATTCAAACCCACTCCCTAGCGGCCTTCCTTAATCACATGGCTGCCACTCATCCCATTTCTGGCCCTTGCTGCCCCGGCCCTCCGTGAGTCTCGAGATCTTGGGGGACATCTGGACCCAGGGAGGAGGAAGGGCCCCTTGGTCACCCTCCAAGGCGACACTGACCAGAAGATCCGTAGGGGGTTCCTCTTTGCACAACTCCATGTGCAAGGTGGGGGCAGGTTTTGGGGGTCCTGAGGGGCGGTCAGCATTTCCCAGCCCAGGCCAAAGGAGGCAAGCAGAGCGCTACTGTGCAACAGGGCCCGCCGGATGAGGTGAGGGGCACCGGGGTGTTCCGGCGCTGGCTCCTTGGGGGTCTGGAGTGTCAAGGGGAATATTGCCTTTCAGATCAAGGAAAGAAGAGGGGGGGAAAACAAGCCACAATTAACTATGTTGAAGTGCGGTGATCACAAAGAAACTGCTGTGGACACCTCTGTGGAGCAGAGCTCAGAATGATGCCTCTTGCACCAAGCTAGGATAAAGTAAGGCCCTAGTCTTCATGGGTTCTGGAGAAAGAGTTGTTTCAAACTGGCACACAGAAACGTCCCTCAATCTAAGCTGCCCGCCAGTGGGTGGACTTACTGTTTGGGCTGGGTTGGGGGTGGGTCTGTGCCGAGGCGGGCAGCCCCTCTGGCTCCATGTACCATGTGGTTTCTTCCAGCCGCATCCTCCTCCTGGGGGCAAGTGAGACAGAAAAGAAGCTTAGGCCCTTGATACATGGTGGAGCCTCTCTCCCACAAAACCGTGACCTGTTCCATCCGGGGTCCCTCCAGTCCTTGATGCTAAAAATGGTGAGACCGAAGGAGACCCAGAGCGTTGGCACCAGGAACCATGCTTTCTCCGTGTTGGTCCCTTTCCCTCCGGACTCATTTTCCTACCATCAGTCTCGGCTTTTGGGAAGTTGATTCAAACAGAATCAGAGCAAGCTGTCCTCCTGGGAGATCTTAAAAAGCCAATGGAGTTGGGGGTGGTCAGCGCTCGCTGGGGGGCACCAGCTCAACAATTTCTGGACAGCTTCTTTCACATTTTTCACGTCTATGTGAAACAGGAAGGGGAACCACGAATCCCGGAGACACTCCATAGGCGAAAGGTCAAGTTGATTAACAGGAGTCTTCCCACCCCCACCCCCGCCAGCACCACGACAAATTGACACCAAGCAGGGGAAAACCCCAGAAACCGATTCCTTTTTCTTTTCTTCATCTGTTCACCACACTTCTCACCCAAACACAAAGTACCAGTCAGGGCTGTTTTTCAACAATTATGAATAGCCGTAAGCACACGAGGGGATCCTGCAGACCATTTGGACGGCTGTATTCGGTGTTGTTAACGTTCAGGCTGCCCTCTGCTAGGTAAAGATTATCATTCTTTTTCCTGTTAGCAACCCCAGCTGGCTACCTGAGCCCATTGGGATTGAGCTCAAGTCATGAGCAGAGTCTCAACTGCAGTGCTGAAGTTTAACTACGTCGCCACGAGGCTCCTTCCGATTTTTGGTGATGTTTGATTATCCTTTTCATGGTTTTTTTCATGGTTTTCAAGGTAGAGAATACCCAGAAGTGGCATTCCCATTCCTTTCTTTGGGGGTCTCCCCGAGACTGTGCAGCTTGCCCAAGGCCACTCTTCTCCCAGGAAGCACTGCAGGGGAATCGAACTCCCAACCTCAGGCTCCCCAGCTGGAGACCTCAACTCTCAAGCTAGCCAGTCAGCCCAATGACTCATGATGACATTTCTTATTCTTCCCCTCATCCCAGTTTCACCTCAAAAAGATGATGATGATGATAATGATGATGAACACAAATCCAAACAGAGTTCCAGTGCAGTTTTGGCCCAGCCCCAAATCCATGCTCTGTGACTGCATTTCTATTATTTCCAGAGTAGAACTTTGGTCTAGATGGGCAGGGTAGAAATCCAATGAAATATATACATAGAAAAGTTCAGATGCTGAATTTCATATTTCACATTCCTCAGGATTTCAACTTCTTCACAGGCAGCAACTGTATATCTGACACAGGAGCAGACACATGGGTTGCCTGGTCACATCCCATGAAATGCAACTGTAATTCTCGTGTCATACACTGTTTGAAATCTGTTCAAATATATTCCTTGTTCTATATATATAGAATGCAGATCAACCTCCCTTTTGGGCGGTATGTTTCCTGTGGATATGGTGGCAGCACCCTTCCCCTGGCTGACACATTGGCTGGTGAGTGCCCAGCCTTGTGGATTTTGGGTTCTGGACTCCCTTAGAGCATTGGGAGACTCGGGAACAAAACCAGAGAGCTGGGAGAAAACATGGCCATGTTTAATGTTTCAGAGAGGTTTCTGGAAGCCTCCACACAGAGAGAAGTAATGAGTTACAAGTTACAGAACTACCTCTAACTAATTACTTTTTTATTTTCTTCTTTGAGAAGAAGGGCATAACAAAGTTCAGTTTCTCAAGCACTGCAACAAGAAGGATTGAACTACATTTTATTGGTTTTTTTTTTTAGGAAGGAAAAAGCACAGTAACAACAACAACAACAAAATAACAGGCCTCAAAACACATAATAAGTTTGTTTTTCAACATAATGAACTTTCACCCACTGTTGAGGTAGCTGGAGTTTTTAAAAGGAACTTCCCAAGTTTGGTCTTTTCCCTTGCCGAGCTAAAGAGCTGCAGGAGCTGAGGGACTTGCGTGCAAACTGAGAAACACCAAATCTTCTTTCGACAACACGAGATTATATGAAAAGACTCAAACTGCCCTGTAGCATACTTTAGTCTGGGCACATGCGCAACCAGGGAGTGTCCTGTAACTTTTCGCTGCCTGAGGCACAGCCCCAAACTTCAGAGTCTGGTTGCCCTAGTGAAGGTAAGGTCATTCGGCACCAACGGTGATTTGGACCCATAAAGCAAAATATTCCCGAGGCACCTGCCAGTAAAAACACCATAGCAATGTAGGATGGTGGTAACTTTGCTGTCTTTTCCTGTTGCTCTGTGCTCTCCCTAATGTTAGGACCAGCCTCAAATCAAGAGAAAATGTTCTTCATGACGAGGCAGTGAGTGTTACCCCGGATCGTTATTCCATAGTAGAAGTGTGTTACTTAGTAAATACCCATTTACAGATGTGTAAATTGTTCTAAATCACACACCAACACATTTAGGCATGGAAAGGAAAGGGGGTGGAGAGGACCCTGGAGGGGGTGGGAAGGAAAGGGGGTGGAGAAAGCAGAAACAACTGAATGGCTGCTTAGACGAGGATGACACTGTTGGGTGAAAGTGGATTCACGCCAGATCTTCTACTGAACAGGGATGGACTTGATCTTCTCTAAGAGTCCCTCTGGGCCAGCTCGGACCCTCTCAACAGATGGAACACCTGTTTTTCTTCCTGTGTTTCCACCTCCTTAGTAGCAGCCTTATTCCAGGACAGGCACCCACCTCTGCAGCCCTGTCAGATTCAGGAGTAATTCAGAAGAAACAGGGGATGAGGAAAAGAGGAAGGAAAGAAAGATGAGAGGGAGCATTAAAGATTGGAGACCCCCAAAAAAAAAAAAACCCAAAACAAAGCAGAGTTAACCACTTTATGCATTTACCAAAGCCATCTCCCTTAAAGTGATCCTTCCAACTATTTTGGCCCAAAACACCCCAAAAGTAATAGCCCAATAATCGGACCAAAAGGATTTAGTTTGGCCACGAATCTGGGTCAGGCTGGAGCGCATTTCCTTGTGTGCCATATGATGGCTGGGAAATAGATAGCACCACACTGCCCCGCAAGTGGAACAAACTGGAGATTCTAGTCCTCAGTATGCTCAATAAAAGGCCATTTGAATGGGAGTAGAAGACACTGCCTTACACCAAAGGCACCATGGGTCCACCTAAGCTCAGGGTTACTGTCTCAGATGGCAGAGAGCGTGTCCATAAACTGGAAAAACCGCTGATCTCAAACCCCAGATCTTGGGAGATGGGACAGGAAACAGGGGTTTTCCCTCTTGGCCATAAACCACCCACCACTAGTTGGCTCCCTCTTTTATCCGTCAACCGGGAACAGGAATACTCACTGCGTCACTTCAAGGTCCAGATCTTCCACCAACTTGTTCTTCTGATGGGGTGATTTCTGGAGGAGCTGCTCTTGCCGCTGCTGAAGCTCCCATCTTGAGCCCCTCTGTGCCATTGGGAGACAGAAATTGGAAGAAAGGCAAAAGAAACAAAATAATGATCCTTACGAATGACTGAATTTTCCACTATTCCCACCTCTTTTGGGCTTCGTCCTGATTTCAGTTTGCGTGGCTAAGATTCCTCCCACTTCTCTGTCTGTGGAGGAGTGGCATTTTGACAAACTGAACAAAACAGTCAAATGAGCAAAAAAGTGTTGTGTTTTGTTTTTAAAACAGGATGCAATCAGGGCAACAACCAGCACCATTTGAAATAAAGATTGAATGGCAAGACAACAATTCAAAGCCAAGTGTAGCATAAGAGTAGGAAAAAGGCCCTCCCCTTCTGCTCTGGTTTACTCCCTCGTTTTCATATACTCACAGCGAGGCCAGCTGGTCCTGGAAGCGCATATCCCCATTGGCCTGAGCCCCCAGGCCATGATCCTCTGATTTAGGAGGTTCTTCTGGAGAAGGTGAGAAAGCCTCAGAAGCACCTCCACAAGCATCCCAGCTAGCTTCGGCTACAAATTCAGACTTTTGATGTAATTCATTCAGGTCCACCAGCAGAGACACATCTCCCTCTGAGCATCCCACTTTGCTGCCTTCTGTGGCATCTCCACCGCAGGGCTCGGGGGCTCAGGGATCACCAACAATTTCTCCCCCCAGGGTTTGGGCACAGGAGGGGGTGCCAGTGAGGGTGATGACAGCTGTGATCTTCTCACTGTTCCCATGCATATGTCTCCAGGTTGGGTGGGGCAGCCATGGGCATCTCCGCCAGGAGGAGACGTTGATTGTCTTCATCCCCATCGTTGGCCTGTTCCTCTTTTGCCTTGGGCAATACCTCATCCCTGAAAACATTTGTGGGTGGGGTGAGGGTTTGGGTCAGATCATTATGGGATTGATCCCCATCGGCCTCACCCCATGGGCCACGATGCTCCGGTTCAGGAGACAGGACAGAGAATGCTGAATCGGAAGGCGACCCCACGGGACCCACTTCACAGATGACATGCTAAGGAAGAGTTGGGTCTTCCATCAAACACTCCACCACCGAGCTTTGGGGCCGAGAGGGAGAGGGGCCCCTATCTATCAGTCTCTGGCCCCCTAAGCTTTCCTTTGGTGGGCTGTCTGGGGCCACAGACATGTTGAGATGGTTCCCAACAGGTCAGGCCACCTCTGGCACAGGGCTGGGGGGCTCAGGGGCTGATAGCAGTTGTTCCAGCCAGTGGTTTGGCTCTGGAGGGGACTCCGGGGAGGAGGATGGCAGAAGTGATCCATCCGAGGACAGAGCAGGTGACTTGAGTGGGCTCCCAATTGTGGGAGAAGCACCACGTCCGAAACCTTGGAGGGAAAAAAAAAAGAAATACCCTGTTACAAGATGGGGGGAGGATATGTGGCTTCATGAGAAAATGCGGTTCAAGGGACTTCAGTCCTTTCCTGTTCTTTTTTTTCCCACCTGGACTCACCTTTCTCTTCCTCCTTGGGAGGATTATCCAGATCAGGATTTGGTCTCCTTGTCCAAGTATGTGAGCGATGAACACAGTGAGACACAACATTTTCTGATGGAAAAACAGGGACAACACAGCATTTTCTGATGGAAAAACAGGGAACACTCTGTGATTCCTCCACGCTGGCTGTCTCTCAACAGAGTGACCTTGGTCTCCCTCCTCCCAAGTAACACTGTTGTCAGGACATGGCCTGGCCAAAGTTTGTGAGGTCACAAAACACTGCCAACCTGAGCTGGCCAAGTAGGTTGACCAAAGGGAAAGCACTTACCTTGCATGTTAGTGACCTCCCTATTCATAGATGCATGAAAAATGAATATCTCCTTTCTCTGGATCTCTGATACCGCTGATGACCAAGCCGTGGTTAAGCACAAGCACAAAATAGGCTCATTTGTTTATCTCTATCATAATGATTGCTGGTGTTGTCCAGTACTTCAGTATTTTGAAATAGAATTTCATGTCCAGTTTTGTCCTGCTGCTGATTTTTCCCGTTGTTTTAATCTACAGTGTCTCTCGTTTTCTTTGAATCTGGTGTGAATGCTGCGTTAAGTGGTTCCAATATATACCTGTCCACAACTGCAAGGTATGCGGTATACTCCTGCAGTGGTGAGGGGGTCCCTTTTGTCCTTTGCTGACTGTAACATTTGTTGTATTTTTGTGGTGGGTCTGAATACTGTTTGTAAGTTTTGTTTTTTCAAAAGTTTCCCCATGCGGTCCGTGACCCCTTTGATGTATATGCTCTGCAACACAGCACGGACAGAGTTCCTACTCCAGTCCTCTGAAGATGCCGGCCACAGAGATTGGCGAAACATCAGGAAGAAAAACCTTCAGAACATGGCCAAAGAGCCCGAAAAACCCACAACAACCATCAGATCCCAGCCATGAAAGCCTTCAAGAATACATAGCAGAATGTACTTCAGTTTTACTTGTGCTGAAAGCTTCGGAAGAAAAGCCATGTTCTAGAATTGTTAAGATGCAAAATAAATGTGAGGTACAATTGAATGCTTCCACGTCATCAATCCTTTGCACACTTTAGGTTCTGGATGTGTAAATTGATGAAAATTGCCTCAAACAGGGAACAATTACAAGGCGAACTTGAACTTTGAGCCTTCCTGAATCTAATCATTGGAAACAGCCCTGGGGATCACTGTTCTCCTTTGGGTCCAGTGACCTCCATGTGGAATCCTTGTTGGTTCAAAAAGCCACATGGCCAGACTAAGCTTAGGAACAGCTATTCTTGTTGGGTTTCCTGCCTGGCCACTGCCTACAAAAGATTAACAGACTGAAAGCTCCAAGATGAGAACGAAGTCAAGCAGGAGCCAGAGGCACGTGATCCAAACGACAAGCTTTGTTCCAGAGACAGCAGCTAATGATCAGATGGAAGGCTGGACATCTCAGTGAGGCAGAGCACCTGGTTGCAGAGCTAGCGGCCACTGTGCTACCCAGAGGGAAGAGCCAACCTGTGCAGCTGTGAGGCCAGGTGCACACTCCCAGAGTGCCCCCAAAAGAAGGGAATGCCAAACCACTTCTGAGTACTCCCTTCCTGAGAAACACTGGCAAGGGTTACTTTAATTGGAATCGAACTGACATCAATCACAACCATCCCTCACTCTTTGGATTTTTGGACTTTTCCCCAACACATACATACACTGGCATGGGTTACCACTAGTTGGAATGGACCTGACAGCACATACATATTAAAAATAAGCAAACACTCGGGTTCAAGAGGTAGAAAGTGGGGAAAGGCCAGTTTGCCTCCTCTCACTGAAATGGGCTCCCCTGCAGGTGACCCCCCCATGGCCCCATCCCCATCTCCACTGCAGAACCCTATCAGCAAAAGCACAAGTATATACTTCCTGTCAGGATTATGTATTAATTTCCAGTTTCATATCACAGCAGCTTAGTACTCAGCTTGTTACTATTGAAGAGGAATAATCACTATGAAAAAATGATAATACAGGAGCTTATTGGTTTTTTAATTTAAATAAATGCATTTATTTATAGTGCAGGACAACAGATCTTAAAGTTGCCTTCATAACAACTTAGGGGTGGCTTCCATGTCTGCTGTTGTGTCTCACTTGAAACTAAAATGGAGGAGCTAGATGATAAAAATTACCTCAGAGGAAGAAGGAAGCAAGCCCAAGAGTACTAGTCTACATGTAGATCTGGAAAATCCAAGGAGAGAAAAACACACTCAGCTATGCATCTCCAAGCTGATGTAGATCACCTGCTACCTTAGTTGCTGCTCTTTTTCAATATTCCTAAATCATGGTGGCAGGCATGTGCCATGCATGGACATTTTCTACAGCAGGTATTCTACTTATGACATTGTTCTAGATCAACACATGCCTGCATTATTTTAGCAGTATGCCTCTCGTTCCTGCCAGATGAGAAGAGAGGGCCAACAATGCAGATGATGGATGATAGAGGAGGAACAGAATCTTCAATTCTTATCTTATTTCCCTCTCCTTTGCACCTCAGTTCACAAACAGTATGTGGATGTGTGATATTTTTTAAAAAAACTGTAGTTAAATTACAAATCCACTTTTGCACATAAGCATGATTTAAAAAAAATATAAAGACAAAGTGGGAGTGGGGCATAACATTCCCATCCTATGACATTGCACCCAGGCCCGTAATATGCCCAAGGTAAGAGTGTGCATGTCCGTCCGCAACAGAAAAAAGCACTGCAACGTTGGTGTGCGTTACAACTGATCTTGCGGCTCTTTGCAGCTCACCAGAGTAAACACCTTTCCTCCAGATTATGGCAAAAATGTGCTCCCTACCCTGAAGTCTGCCTGCTCCCGCCACAGCAGATTAAGATTAGAAAAAAGGGGAGACAAATAGAGTACGCACTCTGCCCACCACCATCCTCTTCCTGCTTCCCCCTTGAGGCCTCGCTAGACAAGACAAAGCTTCCATGGGGAGAAACGGTGGGCCTTTAAGAGCAAAAGACTGCCTGCTTATTTTGACATGACCTTGCCACAATGCACATTTGGCAAATTAGCTTGCTTTTGTTTTGTAATTAGTCAATTGAGAGATAACAGGGCTTCTTTCCCATCTCTGGTGTCTGAGTTATACAGTGCTGAAAGATTTGCTTGCCTGCAGGAATAACCATTTTAAGAGGAAGCCATTACCAATTTGCCTCAGTGTGTGATCTGATGCCTAGAAAGGTCCTCTTCAAAAGCTTGCTTTCTTTGCCTGTGTGTGCATTTGTAGTCGTTGGTTTGACTCTGTTCCAAATACGTCCATACAGGTCGGGCCTTGGAAGTCAGACATAAAATGAGAGCTTTGAGCCTTCCAAAGGGTAAGACCTCTCTGGACCTATGTTTAGCCCATGGCTGCCTCTCAGTCCTGCCTTGTTTGTGTTTCTGTAGGTGTAGGTATTTTTTATCATTAATATTGTTGCTCTTCTATGGATGGCTATGTCTTGCTCTCTTGCTGTCCTTCACACCGCAGAATCCCTGGAATCACCCAAAGCAGCTGCTTCCTTTAAAGAATTAGGCTCCTCTTAGAATCTCACTCCCTTCCTCTTGGTTGGACAGCTGTCCCCAGAGGGGTTGGCTCCCGCCTCGCCTCGTTTCCTGGAAGTCTCGCACCGCAAGCAAAAGAAGAAGAGAGACACACTGTTCTGAGGAAAGCTGATGGCAGAAGGGATTTGGTTGAGAAGAGAAACTTCTTGGAGAAGTTGTACAGCCTTTACAAACAGCTGTTGTCAGGAGTCAAGAACCTCACCCCCACATCATAAGGACTTTGCTAACAAGCATTAGTTCAGAACTTCCAATATCTGCAGAAAAAAAATCATGTGACAAAATCTCCAGTAGAGAAGAAGTGCATTTCCTAGAAAACACTCACTGTGCCTTGTATGGTTGCTAGGTTAGTAGCTCTTGTTCCCTGAGATCCCAGATCTCTCTCAGGGAGCATATTCCTCTCTGTGTGTGTGAAAAAGAGAGAGAGAATTTAGAAATTCAGGGCTGATTTTAAAATACAATGTGTGATTTCCAGTAGCTAAAGGGGATAGCAGAAAGGACATGGGTGCTTCTGTGCATGTGTAAATGAGCAAGTTATGAGAATGAACCCCAAAATCTAGGATTACCAGAATGGGAGACCCATACTCCTTCACATTTTAGGTCCAAAGACAGCAAAGTGAAGCAACATGTGCACTTAAAGCACTCTCTGGGTGGTTTAAAATTTTATGCAAGCTACACAGTGCACACATACCCAGTAAGCTGAGTACTCAATTTACCAACCTCAACGGAAGGTTGCGTCAACCTCAAGACCTGAGCCCAGGATCAAACACAGGTCACCAGCAGAGTCTTTGCTGCAGTACTACAGTTTAACCACCACACCACTAAGACCTAGAGAATGGATACCAAAAGCTGAGTCTCAGAGCCAAAACATTACTTCCTGGTCATTCCCCCAGGGTCAGGTATTGCTGCTGGTCCTACCTCCAGATGTCCATGTGTCTACATAGCTGTCTCCAGAGTAGAGGCATATGTGTGGGCAAACACTGAGGTGTTAGGTTTGATGTGAACAGGACAGCAGGACTGCCAGGTGTTACTAGTTGTTTGGAAGATTACACACAAGTAGCTGGCCACATGTAGACTTCTGAATTGCAGCCACCCCTCCCAAAATGTGGTCATCTAGAACACTGGTTCTTAACCTTGGGTTACTCAGGAGTTTTGGACTGCAACTCCCAGAAGCCTTCACCACCAACTGTGCTGGCTGGGGTTTCTGGGAGTTGCAGTTCAAAACATCTGAGTAACAAAGGTTAAGAACCACTGATCTAGAACACAGAACCCCAACCTGTGGCCCACAGACTACATGTAGCCCCCCATGCTCTTTCTGTGCAGCCCTTCAATCTGCTTGTCTACTGCTATCACCCTCAAGAATTTTTCCCTCAGACCCACACTGTTCTTGCCTCAAGCTGCACCATCTACTGCTGTTTTTCCTGTCCCCCCCCCTTTTTCTTTATGAAAAAACATAGTAACAACAACATTTCTTCTGGTCTCCATGGTCCCTTCTGTCAGACCCCTTTTGTCACGTCCTCCATAACAACATTTTGGCCAT